TCAATTACGGCAAGAGCAAGCTTTAAGAGTAATTCTTAGAAATCTACACCCCTCAACACCAATTGAAGCAATAAAAGAACTGAAAACTTTAGGTTTTATACCGCGCCAGGTTACAAATGTTCTGAAAGAGAGTAATGAACAACCAGGAGTAAAAGTTCCTCTACCCTTATCTTTCGTAGACTTGAAACCAACTCAAGGGATCGAAAAAGTTTACGAAATAAGAAGAATGTACTATACCAGTGTGATAGTAGAAAAGCCAAATCCTAAGAGGGTAATCGTGCAGGTCCACAATTGCCAGGCATATGGCCACACCAATACTTACTGCCATCATTTGCCGTACAAATGTGGATAGCAGCACAAATCTGGTGAGTGCGCAAAAGCGAAACGATATCCTGCAGTTTGTGCCTACAAAGGCTGCCGGATATACAAAAATATCAGAGAGAGAGATGCTCACACGTCAGCAGTAGAAGAATTCCTTAACTCACCCATCCCACTCTCCTTATCGCCTAAAGCAGTTAATCCTTCTGAGGTCAAATATCACTTACAAAAACTATCATCAAATCATCTGGATACGACCTCCTTACATCTCAAATCCTTATACAACTTCCTCCTAAAGCTGTCATATTCCTTACATACATATACAATAGCATCCTACGAACCACCCACTTTCCTCTTTTATGGAAACATTCTACTGTAATCCAATTTCTAAAACCAGAAAAACCTCCCAACAGCTTACCTTGCTACAGCCCCATTAGCCTACTTCCAATCCTCTCAAATATCCTTGAAAAGAATCCTACTCTTTATAGAATCTCAAAATCTTCCGTCACATCTGTTCAGATTCCGTTTCCAACACTCCACAGTCCAAAAAAGACTTCGAATGGTCGATCATATTTCCGCAGCCCTGGAAAGCAAGCAATACTGCTCGGATGCATTTCTGGGCATAGCTCAAGCTTTTAACCGGGTATAGCACACCGGGCTTCTTTTCAAACTTAAAACCTATCTGCCTCAGTCTTTATACCTTGTGATCCGCTCCTACCTCTCTGATCGTACCTTCCGAGTTCGCTGCACCAATGAATTTTCCAATTAATATTGAATTTATTCTGGTGTTCCTCAGGGTAGCGTATTGGGACCCGTCCTTTACACCCTCTTTACCACCGATGTCCCAGTTCATCCCGATACCTTCCTGGCAACATCTACCAGGAATGACACCGTCATTTTATCATCCGACTCAGATTCTGATATAGCATCCTTAAACCTTCAAAGACACCTCTCTCTGATTGAGCACTGGTGTAATAAATTAAAGTAAATGAATCCAAATGCCAACACATTACCCTCACACTCCGACGCTGTTCCTGTCCACCAGTGCTCTTTAATTTCAGCCAGCTTCCTTTCTCACTTACAGTCCGGTATCTTGCAATCTCTTAGACAGACGACTAACGTGGAACCCTCATGTTATACGATACGGCCAACTATACAGACTACTAAATAGAAAATCTAAACTTTCTATTGAAAATAAAATACTTATTTACAAGACACTACTGAAATCTACTTGGACTTACGGTCTTGAACTGTGGTGAACTGGAACTAGAACAAAATTGTCTAACATCAAACGCATCCAATCCTTCCAGTCCAAAATCCTTCGAACAATAGTCGATGCTCCTTTCTATGTAACCAACAAAACTCTACAAAATGGCCTTAATATCCCATATGTCCTAGACCTTATTTCAGCAAAATTCTCCAAATTTCACGATAACCTTACCTATCAACCCAATCCTTTTGCACAATCTATCCAGCACCACCCTTCCTAATAACCCTTCAAGAAAGTTAAAACAGCAGTGGCCCCGCGACCTCTTATAGTTTGTAAATATTAGAGTTCTGGCAATGGCCAGATTCTCCACTCATGACATGAGTATATGTGGCTAAAGCACTCTCGCTCAATCTCCACTGAGTTTAGCACCATTGACGCGGTTGAAGGAGAAGTGCAGGGATCTCCTGTAGTCATGCTTTTCCCTCCACCGTTGGAGGGACAAGTCTGGCTCGGTGTTCTAAATTGTAAATAGCGTATATAGGTATATATGTGTTCTTTTTTATTTATTTGTTTTTAGGTTATTTTATTCTTATTTATTGTATATATATATTATTTATCTGTATGATTTATTGTACATAAAGTGTGGATGTGATCTCTGAACACTATTATAAATTTCCTTTGAGACATATTGTAATATTTTTTAATAAAAAAGTTAAAGCTAAAAAACAAAAAAAAACTAGGAGGTAAGAATGAAATTTTGACACCCTGCCTTAACAACAATATACACCTCAACATCTTACTACTCAAATTTTGCCTGTTCTTCAACAATTCTATCAACACCAAATTCCTCACATCTCTCCACAATCAAATACCACATACCTCTCAGGTTTAGTTACACATTTCCTCTCCTAATTTAAATCTCTTGTCACTCCTTTAATATTACTCCTCACCAATCTTGTATAATATTTTATTCCTCCCTTAACAAATCCTTAAATGACTTCCAATCAACCTATATCCATTCTCCTTTGAAATGCGAAAGGTGTTAGAAATCATACAGACGAACTGTCTCCTTTGTTAATTGACAAAAACGTTGACGTAGCACATATTAATGAAAATCGACACTCAACTAGATAGCTCATCAAAATACCACTGTTTAGGCAACTTTTAAAATTAAGAAAATGCAAATAACTCTTATGAGTTCTTAAAAGGCAACATTCAAATTATGGCCAACATTCTATTTTTATGCGGTGGACTGTATTTTAATGGATTGGTAGGTTATACTGATTGTGCAAAAATAGCTTACCATCTTTATGCCTGCTTACAACATCTCTTCGTTACCTTGAGGGCGCCCTCGGAGCATCTGCCGTATCTGACTATCTGTGTTGGTCTGAGCTCGAGATCTGACTCGCTCGTACGGATTAAGCGTTATCTTTTAGATCTTCTGATCTGCCCCCACAACTAGCCATAATGGGGAAACTTGGAACTATTTTCGCACAAACGTTTACACAAACAAAAAGACTCGATACAGAACATATCGTTCTGACCACTCTGACGGTAGAGCACATGCAGGCATTGCTGTCATTGTACACCAATCCTTCACCCATCTCCTACTTCCATTACCTACACGAGACTTCCTACAATCCACCGCTATCGTAATCAAAACCTTCTTCATTCCAGTTACCCTTGCATCAGCGTATTGCCTTCCTAACCGATCCATATCCAATGACCAGCTCAGTTCTCTCTTCGACTCCTTTGAGCATCATTTCATCTTTGATGCAGACTAGTGTTGCCCACAATCAGTCTCGTTCTTGCACTTTGTAAGATCAAGACCAAAACTACCTAACTGTTGCAAGAACAAGACCAAGATCAACACTGGTAAAAAAAAAATCATTTTTGTGAATAAAAATTAAGACAAATTAGTTACTAAAACTTGAGAATTTTAGTTACTCTATGTAAAAAAATTATATAACCAATACACTTTTGTATTTAAATCTTCCAATTTTTCATATGGTTTTAAGAACCACTAATTCTCGTGACCGAACGTTGCTGTCTGCACTCAATCCCCAACGTTTCCATCCCCTTTTCGCCAACTCTCCTACCTACTGGCACACAGATCCTAACCGTAATCCCGATATCCTCGAATTCTTCATACACAGCGGCTTAGGCCCCTTCCATTGTCCCATTACACACTTAAACGAACTTTCCTCTGACCACAGCCCATTGATTCTTAATGTTTCCCTAGAACCTGTCCTCTAACCGTCTCATTCATAAGAGGCCCCGTTAACTGGAACCTTTTCCGTCAATTCCTCTCTGACAAAATAGATTTCAATATACTCCTCAGAACTCCAGACGACCTTGACAATGCTGTAAATTTCTTTACTACCTCAATCCAACAAGCTGCCTGGACTCCCTCAAGTAACTCCCAATAAATCCTAAGCTTAACAATTTACCTTAATACCTCTTAGATCTCATCCATATGAAACGATGTGCCTGATCACTATGGCAATGTACCAAGCATCCCGCTGATCGCCGTTAATGGGTTTAATTCAATTTATAAAATTAAATTACTGACGTAAGCAGCTGGAAGCTGTTTTAATGTCTTATTAGGATTCTAGCCTTAATAAACAAATAGATGTTAAACTTGCGGTCGGCTGCGATCGAAAGGTCTGAACCAACATTTTTTTTTTTCATTTTATTTTAGTACTTTTTCAAATTGGTATTGTGGACTTGAAAATACGAATAAGTAATTTCTTTTTTCTAGCAGTACATCGTTTGTAATACCTGTTTATTAATATAAAAAGAAATTGCACCAAACATACTAAATGTGAGTCGCAAAAATTTTCGTTGTAAATCAACTATTTTTTCACGATCGGATTTGAAAGGCTCGTACAACGTTAAAAATCAATATTTTATCGATGGAACTGGTGAAATATCTTAGGTAACTAATCTGTTTATCATTGATGAAAATAAAATTATTTGTTCAATGCCTTTTCCACCTTTCAACCATTGTGCACCGTAAACAGTCTTTCGAATAAACCCGGGTGTATTCGGCATTCCATGAACAAGTGTGACCGAAGTGATTGTAAACCACGCTTAACCCGTGCGGTCCTCATCTAAATAATCACCCAAATAATATATATGTACATGTGTTATATATTAGTTGATGTGAGAAATTGAACGTTTAGATGTACTGGACAAGCCTGTTGTCTGGTGTTTGCAAAGGCAAATGGCCTGCTCTGACAGAACTATCGATGGCTCACAATAGGCCACAATGCTAATGCAACATAAATTATTTTCTCCTTTTCGCTTTTAGCCAGTTTAGTGATAACTATATACATACTGATACTAAAGATATTTACAAGTTACCCCATGCCCAGTTCCTTTAAAAGTAGACAAATATCCATTACTTGCCAAGTTTAAATCATCTTTGTTCTTTGGAGTACTTTGAAAACCTTCATCATTAATGTTTTCTGTTGTCATAACGTTCGATCTACCCAATAATGTTCAGAATTATGTTAAATTCTAAGATTTCTTTTTATTATTCATAGTTTTTGTATTGTATTGTATTCATAATTTATTATGTTGAAAATTAGTTTGGATAATCTCTCTGCTGAATATTACAGAATATAAGTTTTTACTTTGTTATGATTATGGAAAATGTTAACAATAGTTCTGGTATGAATACTGAGTCAAATACTCATGACGTTTTAGACAGTGATCAAATTACCAATGATGAAAGTTGGAAAAATAAAAGCAGACATATATTTATCTTTAGTTCTGCAGGAAAACCTGTTTATTCAAGGTACTGACTTCTGAATTTAGTTTCAAATGTTTGCATAAAATTTTCTCAATCATTGTTCTATTTTTTCTTGTTGATAATATTCATTTCAATTAAGGTTGTATTGCAATACTATCCTCCGAGCTATTGTGTTGTTTAACATCACTTGGGTATCAGTTGTTTACGAACCTATGGAAGTTAATTTTATTGTATAATGTATTATTTTACTATTTTGTTTGAATTGCTATTGATGTAAGTCAGGCAGTGATGACTTCATTTATATATTTTTATTGGAGCTAAGAAGTTTTGGGTTCGTTTTGAATTAGGCTGTATCTTGAATTATTTAACCAGTTGACTAAAACTAATGGTGTGTAGCAATGATTAACTCATGAGTTATTTGTTTTCGGCTAGAGACACTATAGGAGTGATTAGCTAAGAGATTGGTGAAAAGGTGTGGCACATTTAAAAATGATATGAAGAGAGCAGCCTCACTGATATCTAGTTTCATGTCGCTTTGGAACCATATGGTGGTGTAGCCAATTTATCTCATTGATCCATTTTGTCCCACGACTCACCAAGAGAATCGCCTTGTAACCATTTTTCTTGCAATGTCTTCCAGTGTCTTCTTTGTCTAAAACTGTGTGTGTGCCTTTTAGATATATATGGTGCATTTATTTAGGTAATTTAGCCGCTCAAATGTCCTCTTTAAATGGTTTTAATAATGTCAAACTCTGTTCAATTAAAGTAAATTTTTTAATTTAGTCTAGTTTACAGTGAAGTAATTGTTAATTACTTAAATTAAATATTTCTTTAGTTATCTCTTCCTATTCAACAAAATACATGACTCTCTTAAAAAAACACAAAACTTAGATTTCCTACTTTTCTGCTGCAAATTGACCCATTGTATATATGAACTTTTTTGTGGATCTTGAGGTCTGCTATTACTCTTATCAAAATTTCCCTTTACTTACAGGACACTATATATATATATATATATATATATATATATATATATATATATATATATATATATATATATATATATATATGTGATCTTCCGAGGTTATATTATTATTATTTGTAAAATATAAAAGGGATGTTACAATATATATATATATATATATATATATGTGTGTGTGTTATATTTGAATAACCTCATATCAAGACAGATATCTGGCCCCCACCTGGGTAAGTTTTTTTTTAAACATTGGCATAAAGCACGACGACTCTTGAGAATCTATTGTGCGCCATGTATAATGTCCATTTTATTCCTAAAACGTTAGTTTATTCTCTTTTTCGTATCTTAATAGGCTTATCAGATTGATAGATGCTGGGCTAATCCACTCGATCCTCCCCAAATAGCTCTAGTCCTAGCCTTGCAAACCTATCACATTGACAAATGATGTGAAAAGATATTCCATTCTTCTACTAACAGAATCTGCAAAGCGGGTTCAAAGTCACTCGGAGGTTGAACATGTGATAGTTACTTACTGTTAACTTATTAGTTAACTGTTAGTTACTAGTTAACTTACAGTGACCATTATTGATCAAGCTGCTCTGTCCAAACTCAGTAGCAGCTTGCTTCTTTTACCACACGGACCTTAAAGGAACAACTTTAAGTGTTTTTCGAACTTTTCACCATATAACTCCATAATCCTTCTTTCGGCAGTACTAAGACTAATTACACATACAGGTTCAGGAGTTATAGGAATAGTATCTGAGCCTAACTTGGCTAGATTGTCTGCCTCTTTTTTGCCGAGAATGCCTGAATGACAAGGCACCCACCTACTGAATTGCAACTCTATTAAGCTCTGACATATTATTAAGCGCTATACTGCACTCTTTAACAACCTTTGAGTAAGTATATAAAAAAAGAAGTAAACAGCTACTGAACATGGACAGAGCAGCTCTTAAAAAACTTACAGCGATCTACACAGGTCACTGTAAGTTAAATAATCATATGTTCAATCTCCGAGTAATGACGAATCCGCTATGCAGATTCTGTCAGGAGGAGAATGAAACAGCTTTTCACATCATATGCAGATGTGACAAGTTTATAAGGCTGAGACTGGCGTTATTTGGGGAGGAACAGATGGATCTCCCCAGTAGATTTGAGTCGGTTAACCCAACCAGCCTACTTAGATACGCGGAAGCGACAGGACTAACGTTTTAAATAAGACGACCTAGTGAATATTGGCGCACAATGGACCCAAAGGGGTCGACGTGCTTAAAGCCAACATTAAAAAAAAAAAAAAAAAAAAAAAAAAAAAGTATATTGATTATTTAAGGCACCTATTGCTGCTTGACTGTCAGTGTATGTTATTATTTTTTTTCCGGTCACTTGGCCTAGCAGTAGGTTTTGAGCGGAATGGCAAATTGCAAGTATCTGAGATTGAAATACTGGAGCATGTTTGCCAAGAGGAATTGAAACTTTTTCTTTGTTGTCATAAGCTTTTAGAGAGCCATCTGTATAACAATCTATACCATTTTTTGGTTTGTATTGTCTGCTGTTATCAATCTCGTCATCATATTTGCTGTCCAGATACTCACGGATTTGTATGTCTGAGTGCATGGCTAGCACTTCATCATACTCAATCCTATTCAGCAGTTTGGTGTCCCCCCCCTGACAAGGGATATATTAGCAGCTTTTTAGCTTACTCAGCCTGTATAATGCTTTTGTTGTCTGAGGCTGTAATGATTGTGTTTAGACAAAAACAAAGGTTGAGTAAGTTCCCAAATAAATCAATGAATATATTTTTCAACAATGTACAACCTCACGTGTTTTTTAAATAATATGTAACACAATAATAATCCATACTACATTATTCTCCCCTTCTTTCTGATCGCTTCCTCATATGATCAGCATGGCATCGCATTAGATTTCTGCTCGTTTCTATGCCATAAGAGAGAGGCCCTTTTTTTTTTAATCACGATGCCTTTTACCCATCCTTCTGTGTCCTTACGTTTTACCCAAACTTGCTCACTTTCTTCGAAACTGCGTTCTTGTCCCTTTCTATAGTGGTACATTTTTTGTTTTAGCCTGCTTTCTTCCATCTTATCTCTCACGGATGGTTTTAAACGATCCAATACTGAATGCAACCTTCTGCCAATGAACAGTTCTGCCGGCGTTTTTCCTGTTGAGCTGTGTATTGTAGTTCGGTACGCAAACAGCGTTACTCGCAACCTTTCCTGCTTATCTGTATAAGCAGTATCGTTTCGGAATCGTTGTTTAAATGTTCTAATTGCACATTCGACCATCCCATTTGATCGACTATGATAGGGCGTTGTAAATATTTGTTTCACTCCATTGTCTCTTAAAAATCACTTGAATTCCTTTGATGCAAATTGGCTTCCATTGTGCAAATCCCATATCTTGCAAATAGCGATTCTAATACATGGATAGTTTTTCTAGCTGTTATTGATTTCATTGGAAAAATTTCTAGCCAACAAGAATAAGCATCAATAAGCACGAACCAGGATAGTCTTCAAATGGTCCAGTAAAATCTATATGTTCCCAAATAAATCAATGAATATATTTTTCAACAATGTACAACCTCACGTGTTTTGTAAATAATATGTAACACAATAATAATCCATACTACAGAGGCTCAACCTCCAACTGCAATGGTAGCATGTTCAACATTATCTCCATAGTGTTGTATCCTTTTATGGTCCATTATAACTCCAAGGTATTTTTACTTCCTTTCTGTGTGTCGATTGGATACCATTAATCTCTGCCATTTTAATAAACACCTTTTTCTTCTTAGTGAAGACACAAACGCTGACTTTCTGTGGGTTGATTCTGTGACTTTCTGTGACACAGCCCATTAGTGCTGCACCAATTCCTCAGGATGACAGTTACTGTTTTGAGGAGATCAGAGAGAACCCTCCGATACTTCCCTCCAATTAGGATAGCAATGTCATCAGCATATCCTTATGTATATATACCCGCAGTGTTTAGGGCTTCCAGCTAAGAGTCAGCCTCTAAACACCACAGTTGAGGGTAGAGCACACCTCCTTGTGGACATCCACCGCAGGGTTTAATCCATAGTTGCTTGTGCCCTAGTTCCAATTTTAGGACTATCCTCCAGCAAATTCCCGATCCATCTAGAGGACATAGAGTCCACATCTTTTTATCTTAGCGCATCATTAATGATGTCATAGAAGGTTCTATCAAAGGCATCCTCAATATCAACAAAGACGCCCATCATGATTTCCCTCTGTTCTATGGATTTTTCATTTCTTGTAACCAAGTTATGAAGTTCCACCTTACAGAATTTTCCTGGTTGGTTGGCCAATTGTTTTGAGTGTATTGGACTTGTAGCCAATGTGTATTCCCTGACATGCCTGTCTAGTATCTTTTCCAATGTTTTCATTAAGAAGGATAACAGGAATATTGGTCTAAATGCCTTGGGATCTTCATAAGATTCCTTTTCAGGTTTTGAAATGTATTACACATTGGATATCCTCCATTTAGTTGGTAGATATCCTAATGCTAGGCTACCTCTCAGTAATTCCAAGAGGTATGGCCTTATTTCTGAGAGACCCTTCTGCAGCAATGCTGGAAAGATCCCATCAGTACCAGCAAATTCAAATGGAGAAGTTGAATGTACCGCCCATTCAAGTCTGCTGTTAGTAATTACTGTTTTTGTCAAGTCCCATATATGTACACCAGTACCACCTGTGTAGTGGGATCAAGAGGTTCTGTTTCTGTCATACAACATTTGGGGAAGTGTGATTTTGCTACTGCACTCAAAGTTTCAGTTCTGTTTATGATATGCTTATTGTCATGTTTAGTGTTCCCAGAGTACCTTGGTCAGACAGAATTTTGCGAACTCGACATGCAGCCTGAATATCATCCACCTCCAGACAAAACCTTCTCCAGGCTTGTCTGGTGAGTGGGGAAGACTCCCGCACCCATCTCCCTCTCTAGACCTCCCGTTACCCTACCCATTTGCCACCCTGGGTCAATTACTTTTCATTTCTCGGCCGTCCCGGGAAATGGACCGTGACATTCCCACTCTGGTAAGTATGCAGTGGCAACTTCAAGGTAGCCGTAAGGGATATGCAAAAAAGACCATGGCAGGCCCACTTGCCAGACTAGTTCCCCCCACCAATACCGGTACCAGTACCAGTATATATGTATATATATTATTTATTTATAGTTATACTTCCGAATAGTTGGAAAATAAATAATAGTTTGTTTATTATTTTTCAGGTATGGTTGTGAAGACGAATTAGTGACACTTTTTGGTGTTATGCAAGCATTAGTCTCATTTGTACAAGATAATGATGATGCGATTGAAGCAATTTTTTTTGGAAATAAATTACTAGTTTTTTTAATAAAAGGGCCAATAATTTTGGTTGCTGTTTCTCGTAACAAAGAAAGTGTCAAGTTTTTGGTCAAACAGTTAATGTTAGTAAGTACATACTTCTTTTTTAATTAGTCATTTATTTTTATCATGTAGAATGGATTTAATAATAAGAATGCATTATTGAAGTAGTTAAGTTTATTTAGGTAAAGCCATAGTTCCCTTTGATTACATTAATCACTATGTACATAGAATGCTAAAGGTAGATGCTCTTTTCTTTATTCCACATAATTTTTTTTATTCCTTCTGCCTGGCCATTTCTGGAATACAGAGTTCTCAACAGCAGTGGGTTGTTGTTTTTTTTGTTATTATTTTTTTTTGTTATTATGTTTTTTGTTAGGGTATATTTTTGTTTCTAGGTATAATAAAAATAGGGTTTTCCTGTGGCACAGTCCAGTGTATGGTGGGACTGTGCCTTCTTATCAGTCCAGCAGCTCTCAGAAACCACTAGAGCTTCATTCAATATGAGCGTAGGGCCAGAGACATCACTAAGTGTACCAGGTCTTCTCTACTGTCTCCATCATCTTTGACAATTGCACGGGGTACTCTCTTCTCTCAGCACTGTATCTTATTTCATCTATCACATTCCCAGATATCATACAATTCTTGCACTTTTGTGGGGAACTGCTTTTCCATGCCTGGCACTCATTTGCCTCACGCCCTCACTTGTCCCACCATCTGCATGTAAGATTTTTCTTAAATTTAGCTTTGGTATGACCATATTCCTGGCATTTCAGATATAGGTGAGCATCCAAGTAGTCCCTAATGTCCAACATCCAGAAGCTGCCGTAGAACTCTTCCAACTGTAAGACTCCTTTTCTCATGGAAAAATGAACCTCTACTACCCAGGTTTTCTTTAGGTTCCCTCTCTCAATATTAGAAAAACATGGCCTGACCCATTCCTTCCTATTACACTCTTCTCGAGGTCTACTTATCCCGCTGCTCTCAACTTTGCCCATCAGGAAGTCCTCCAAGTCAGATGATTTCCAGTCCTCGGGTAGTCCACTGATTTTCAGCTTCATTCTCTTTGTTCTTGCCGGACTAACTTTCAGTCAAATGTGCATCCATCTCTGACAGTTTATTTTAGATTATATTTCCAACGAAAACGGCTAAACAATTAAGACTAAATAAATTAATTTAGGTACTTAGAGATATAGGTACAATTTAATTATTGAAATAACCAAATGCGAGAAGAAAAATAGATTTATTAATAAAGATATTTCTAAATCTTTCAGGAGTAAGATACACATTGACACCATTTAAAATATAATTTAATATAATATTAAAAATATTATTTTGACAAATTGGTAAAATTATGTTTTATAATGACTGTTCAGAAGCCTAAGTATAAAATACAGCACTTAAAACATACATCTCCAAATATTTTTAATCACACTAAGCACTGAAATGTAACCAGGGGTTCTAAACATCTTACTAAGCATCTAATTAGTTTGATGAAGTAATGAATAACATCATAATAACTAGCTCAAACATACAATTAGTTTTTGTTCAACCATTTTCTTGTATTTGAAAATACCAAAAGAGAAATAACCCCTGATATCACATAGCCAATGTAAAATGTGGCCTATGATGTGAAAATTTTACTGCAAATTATTTTGAAATAATTATAATACCTAGTTCTGCCATAAATACTGTTACAAAAGTTGAACTTTGTTTACATCCTTGTGTATTATTTAGATAATCCTTACCAGGTTATTTTCTTTATATGTCAGGATAAGAATCCCAATTAGTTTGTATTTTTCTTTCGCTCAGTTAACATGGAATGTGGTGATAAAGAAAACCGAATAGCTGTGATCGTCTTACACAAAGTTGGAAAATGTAGGTCAGAGATTTTCGAGACAAAGAGGTTTTCAGGAGCATAGTTTTGAAAATACTATCAATTTTAATTTAAATCGATTAAGTATCAATTTATTTAAATTTGTCGGATTTATTTGATATCAAGGTCTACTATTAGGTTTTCGGGAGCCTAGTTTTTAAAAATACTATCAATTTTAATGTAAATCTAATACATATAGATTCATGTAAATATATCAGATATATTCGATTTAGGGGTCTATTATTAGATTTTCAGGGAGGGGTAGGGGCGTACTTTTTAAAAATACTATTCATTTTAATTTAAATCGATTATTTATGGATTTATTTAAAATTTTCGGATTTATTCGATATCAGGGTCTGGTCTATTGCTAAGTTTTTTGGAGCATACTTTTTAAAAATACTATCGATTTTAATGTAAATCAATTACATATCAATTATTTAAACTGTTCGGATTTATTTGATATCAAGATCGGTTATTAGGTCTTCGGGGAGGCTGATTTTTTTAAACTTTCATGTTTGTTAGATATCAAGGTCTACTATTATGTTTTCCGGGGCCTAATTTTTAAAATAAAAGGTTGTATAAAAAAAATGACCATTTAATCAAATTCAAGATTTCAAAGGACTATAAATATTTTAATACTTAATAATTCCTTTAGAGCATTATTTAAGCTTGTTTAATTCCTTTCGACTTCTTCAAAAGAAGCCTCAGTTTAGTTATTTGTTCCACAGAAGAAACATGACAGTGTCCTACGAAATTCTCATAATTTTAAGGCATGCTGGAAAAAAAATTTCACAGCCACTGAAGCAACTCGTGAAATTATTAAATATGCAAGGGAAGGTGTCCTTGACCAGTGCACTGTGCGGTGTTGGTTTGAAAAATTTAGCAGTGGAGATATGATGGTGGAAAGGAAGAAGGGCTCCAGGCGACCATTAATGGATATTGATGAGGTTCTGCAGGAAGCTGTTGAGTCAAATCCATCCACAATTACTCGTGGACTTGCCAGGGAATGTGGCATGTCGAAAGATACTGTTAGTCGCTATCTACTGTCCATGGGGAAGGTGAAAAAGAGCAGTAGACTGGTCCCTCATGGACTTACTCCTCAGCAATCAGCTAAGAGGTTAGAAATTTGTGAAAATTTATTGAAAAAACCTTGCCTAAAAAACTCCTGCCTCATCGATCATATATTCCAGGCCTCGCACCATCGGATTAATACTTATTTAGATCTATGACTCATTTTCTTCAAGGGAAAAAATTTGATAATTTTGTGGAAGTTGAAATTGTGGTCCAAGAGTTCTTTGACAGCCATCCCAAAGAATGATATCAGCGTGGGATCGAGCAGTTGGCTAGTAGATGCCTAATGACGGTAGATAACAATGGACTATACTTTGAGTATTAATTTTATTTTATATGAAAGAAATAATAATACAAATATATGGTTTAAAAACGGTCATTTTTTTTTATACACCCTATTAGTGTAGATTTCAACCCATATTCATCCAGTAATATTTTACTCTGCCATTACGGCAATCGTAACGGCAGTACGGCGGGAAATATTGGATATATGATTTTTCCACAAAAGTGTTTTATCAATGGTTATTCCAAGATTTTTGATGGTGGGGTAAAGTTTGATGGGATTATTGTGTAGGAACAGAACGGTGCGCTTTTACATTTTAAACTTGGCTTAAATCTATACAGCGTTTTTTCTTGTTGAATTGTATATTTAAGTATAACTCTCTAAATAATAACAAAAAATTCAACATTTGTCTGGACCAGAGCAAGATTTTGTAAGATAAAAAAAAAGCGTTTTTGTGAATAAAAATGAATGCAAAATAGTTAATAATACTAGACAATTTTAGTTACTATTTATATGTAAAGAATTGGTCGAACCAATATATTTTTGCATTTAAATCATCCGATTTTTTTATTTGTGGTTTAGTTATGATTCCCCATTCGGAAAAACAACAGTAATATCTCTATAGTATGTAGTGGTAAGATACTACTCACCCAACATTTTTGAAATGATGGCTGCAAACTGTAGCAAATGCAATTAGTGTGTTTAATCGGATCAAGTCAAAGATTCCGTTTTTGACAATGTATCTGACCTATATATACCAATATTCCTCTCCTCTGTCTATACCCTACAGGTAGACATTTAATGAAATAAAGTTGTTTATAATTAATATAATTATAATTAATGCAAGGTTGTTCTAATTTTTGGTGTAATTTCCTTGCATTAGTAAGTTTATGTTTTACTGACTAAAATAAAATATGTATACATGTAATAAAAATATAGCACAAAATAAAATTTCTTTCTAGCTAAGCTAGTGAAATGCCCATTAATAAACATGGAAAATAAAAAATTAACTAATGTGATGGGCGCTTAGAGCAGCACGGTACTCGTTCGCACTGTTTATATCCTCTAAGTACCTAAAATAATATACAGTTTTATGAATCTCGTGTGTGAATCTGCTGATGTATGTGCTAAAACCAATAATCAATAAAATTACATAAACATATGTACTTGTGTTTTAAAAATTTAGTTTATTTATGGAAGTTTAAAATTATGGCCTATCCTTATGTTATGCAATATTTTATTATACAGTAGAATCCCGACAGTTCCTAACCCTGGAAATTTCCACATCCGGATAATCCATACGGATTCGCCATTCCCTTGAAATTCTCCTTCTAATTCGTCTATATACTATGTAATTTGATCCCCTGGATAATTCGTATTTATTTGTGTCTTCAGAATATATTAAATGTCTTATATTTAGAATTTAATAAAAAATCTAATGCTCCCATCACACAACTTTCACTTACTACTTACTTACTATGTAGCTCTACAGCCGAGGGTGGGCCTTGGCTTCCTGAATTATAGCATGCCAATCATCTCTATTGCTCGCTTTTTCCTTCCAGTTTATCACACCCAGTGTTCTAAGGTCGCTCTCAACATCTTGTAGCCATCTTTTCCTTGGTCTTCTCTTTCTTTTTGTGCCATACATTGTAGAGAACAATGCCCTCCTATAAGGCATCCTGCTGTGTAGTCCATTCTAACCACGTGGCCTAACCATTCCATACGCCTAATTTTAATGAAATTAACTATGTTGGTACTATTATATAATTCATATAGCTCCGCATTTTTTCTATACCTCCACACACCCTCTTCACACACAGCTCTATAAATTCTTCTCAATATTTTTCTTTAAA